AAAGGTACACGTGTAAGTCCCTACACTAAGTACGTATATTATAAGTTATCAATCTAATATCAGTTATATCATATTATAATACTGTCATACATTTTAACCCTTTATTCTATATAATATATAATTCTTTATAATATTTAATAAATTACCTATTAAATATTATCAAACTAAGAATTTAAAAAATAATAATTGTAAATTGTAATATAATAATAATTCATCATTTATTGTAAAAAAAAAATAAAAGTAATGCATTCTACATAATATTTAATAATTTATAATACTTACATTTTTTTTACAATTATGAATTATTATTATATTAACATTATAATTTTTAAAATTACTGTATTAAATTAAATTAGATAAGATAAAAAGATAAGATTAAATTATAAGATAGCTTATAAATTATATATTATATAGAATAAAGGGTTAAAATGTATAACAGTATTTTATAGACGTAGATTGATAACTTATATTTTATAATATTCGTAGTGTAGGAACTTACATGTGTACGTTTTTTTACCGTGTAGGAACTTACACATGTACCTGTCTTCCGTCGTGTAGGAACTAACACAAGTACCTGTCTTCCGCCGTGTAGGAACTAACATACGTACCTTTTTTTTGTGTAGGACATTTACGAATAAAATTTAAAATAGTACAAATATAAAGTAAACAAATATTTTTTGATTTCTGAAATTACAAGTGAGGTGGTGTTTTAATCTCCTCACCTCCAAAACCGCCACTTATTTTAATGCAAAATGTTTATAGTATTAATATTCATTTATTCATTTATTTGTAAGAATAGATCACAAAAATGATGTTACGTACCTTACGACATGATTACCTAATAAACTGATATAATCAATATTTTTACAAGAACTATAGAAAAATTTAAAATTTGTAGTTTTACATGAACAATGAACATACTATTATTATGAACAAATTACCTAATAATTTCAAAAATATAATTCAGAAAAAGTCATTCATATAGGGTAAAGACCGGTACGCCCGTAATATAATAAAAGTAATAAAACTATTGCAATTTGTCATTATAATTTATAAAATATTAAACTACTTTAAATGATAATTATATAAGGTGTATAAAATAAGGATCTAATAATTATTATAATATAATGTTAAATGAAATTAGATTGGACTTACCATAAAAGGATTATAAGAATAAGAGTACCGAACAACGCCTTCCTTCAAATTGTCAATGATAAATAAAAATTAACTGATATTTTATTATAATAAACTATATCTTACAGTCCACAGAGTACCAAGACGAAAATAGTTTATTTATAAACACAAATAATATAATATAACAACATATTATCGAATATATCCGATATAATATATACATATAATACAAACCCACAAGGCTGTCGCCTGCCTGTCGGACTGCATCGGCGCATCGTTGGATATTGTGATAATTCTAATAATATAACTACGAGTACGAATTACAGATTGTAAACTAAAAAAAAATATGATATTTTATGTTATATATATTTTAAATACAACAAACATTTTTATAATATAAAAATTGTAATTGACATAATAATTTAAAGTACACACTTTATTCAGACTTAAGGCCGACACCTTAAAATTAGTTGGTGTGGTGAAAATTATTTTGTTTCCGTAACTATTTCCGTAGTATGTCCCATTGTCCCCTGCAAATTTCAGCCCGGTCGGGGAACTAGGAGCCCGGGTCGAGGGGGACGGTATTTATTATAGTATTTTCACCCCCCTAGGGAGGGTAATGGCGGTATACAAATGAAATTTGGATACATCATTGTTTACGTACTTAAGTATGTCCCCTGCAAATTTCAGCCCGGTCGGGAAACTAGGAGCCCGGGTCGGTATATTTTATTCCGGTCAGTTAATTTGGGTCAGTAAATTAGACTTCTCCCATTTTATCTTCAAGCCCGGCCCTGCCCGACATATATTTTTAACGCTAGTGAATAAGGTTTTGTTAAAAAAAAAGCCCAGTTCAGTCTTAGGTTTATTCGTATTTCGTAAGACTGGTTTAAAAATGTTGTACAATTTCTACATGAAATATTTTTATGATAATATATATTAATGATAACTGGCGTTATTTTTTAAATTATGTTTATTTATTGTCGAAGAAAAATCCTTAAAAAGCCCGGTCCAATCCTAACAATCCTTTATTTTATTTTGGAGGCCCGGCCCGGTCCAATGTCACTACAGGCCGGTTTTTTTGAGATCTGGGTCGAACCGTCTCAGCCCTTGCAGGTCTTTACTACCTACCTAAAAAAAACTACTTAAAAAAAAATATTGGTTAACCTGAGTAATTCTTATAATCGCCATTTAGGCTCAAGGTGCATAACCCCGGACCATGAGATAGTGGGACTCTGGCCTTCTCTGGACCAGTTCTTGATGTGAGGTGCGGTATGAATACGTTGCAGTAATTTACCATATTGTTAATTTTTTATAACAAAAAAATTACTGTTTAATTAGTAGTAGGTAGTTGTATTTATTTGTTTTAGAATAATGTTATTAATTGATGTTTAGGAGATGTTGTGGCCATAGACGAGCCCTACATTAATGGGGGATGGCTATTACACAAGTCTTATCGTCGTTATTGTTTGAAATCGGATGTTGCTCCTATACCCTGTACAAACTGTAACACGGTAAGTGTTCTGTTAACAATAGTACTTAATTAATCTAATTTACACGCATTTCTATTTGGTGGTTAGTTTATTTTTTAGTAAAATTTATAGTATATTTGTAGATATATCATACTTCGTAATGTGAAAACCATTTTTAGAATCCTGACTATATGATGTTTTTTTTAATTCAAAATTTCAAAACTGATTAATATGTCATTTAGATATGATTTGAATTTAATCTACACATTTCTTCTGTTTTCATATCTTAAACAAAATATATTGATTTACATAATTCGTATGTAGGTTTATTACTGCAGTAAACAATATATGCAGAAATCTATAAAAGATGAACACAATTTCGAATGTCCAATGATTTTTTAATTGCTTTAAATTGGTTATTAAAAGAGTTATCAAAAATGGGTTTGAAATTATAGTGTTTGTTAGTAGATACCTTTTATAAATCTCAAAGAGATCTTATGACAATGGGTTTTAATAAGGGTGGTCAATATAATTCTTTGGATACCAAACATGAACAAAGGTCAATAGATGTATTGTTTTTTTTAACTGTATCGCTGCTGAAATGCTGCAGTATTTGACATTAAGTGGATTTGAAATTCAGGAATGTTATTTAGGAATAATTATGGATATTTTTTTGGTACGCATCCTAAGTATTATAGATTTAAACTGCAGACAGTTAAACGTCAACGCCCCAACTGAAGCTTTGCCAAAAGGTCGATGGATAACTAATTACTGGAGAATTATCTAAAAAAACAAGAGTTATGAAAGCGATTCAACCTATTCTCAAAGGATGTCAGGTAACTAGAGATCATTATTATTATTTTTTTTAGAAGAGATTATTTTGTGTCAGTGTCCTACCATGCTATTATAAAGCAAAAATGTATAACAATGCTAAATAATAGTTACATATTTTAGATTCTAATTAATTGTTTTTTTTCTCTAGAAACTGGTTTTATGGAGAAGGTATCTATTCTAAAAGTTTTAAGTACCGATCTTTATCAAATGAAAGTTAAGAACTTAGTTTGTGTTTTGAATTATTTGAGAGTCTCAGCTCCTAGTTTCTCTATTGCATTCAACTCTATGATCACAAAAGTACAACTTTTCTAATGTGTCATTTTCAGTAGCCTATCAAATTTTTGATTTTGAACAATTAACTTTATACTTGTTATATATTACGTATTTGAATATGTGAATTTTCTTAATTTAGCTAAAAGCCATTAGATAGGTAAATAGTTTATTGGCATTTGATAATTTATCGCGGTTATGTGTCAACTTTGAGTGTTACATTTCATAAGGAAGCACTGTCAAGAAGATATACTAATAGAAAATGATAATACATTTGATGTTGTTTTTCATAAGTTAAATAAGTTATAATTAACATTTAGGCTAGGGTTATCAAAGGCATTTTTGATTCTTTAGTAGTGTATTTACTTTTTATTAAGATGAAATTTTCATGTCATACTCAATGCCAACGAAGTAATACATAATATTTTATCAATACAACCCAGTCATTGGTATAAAATGGTGGGGGGATAGGAGAGAAATAACCCCTCTAAAAATGTAAGGTGACTATTAACTTTGAGTAGGTATTTGATCATATTGATATGCTGCCATCATTTCTTCAAGCTTTTTCCATCATGTCATTTAATTTTACATTCTACAAAAAAGATTTAACTCAGCTAATATTATGTACTACATAATATTTTTTCATTACTTTCCACAGATTAAATATAATATCTAGTATTTAAGGTAAATTATATCAACATAAAATAAAGTCGCTTCCCCCATAAAAAATGTAAATAAATTATAAAATAGAAAAAATTCTAATTGATAGATTAATTGATCATGTTATCCTAAAAATAATATTGGATTAAAATGGTATCTTTGGCCACAGCCTACCAACACACATTGTTGGATAGAAGAGATGACTCAACCTCACAAAAAAATGCAGTCATATGAGAAACGTTTTTAATCACTTAAAAAATTTGAAAAATTAATAATACTTGGCCGAGTTATTAAATTGAACTCGAATAACTTTAAGTGGAATTTGTTGCCTCTGTCTTATAAACGTAAGGCATGGCAAATTGTACGTTCACAATAATACATTTTACTATATAATTTCAAAAATTAGAGTTCCTCTATTGTCTGAGCATCTCTAAGAATTTTATTGATATTATTATTTTTAAGTAAGTTATGATCATTTTAAAATGTGAAAAATGTAGCGTTCTCTTAAAACATAATTTGAAATCTTCTAAAAAATAGCAAAATGTCTTTCTTTAAACAAATATTTTACCAAAATAGAACTTATTCTGATTTTAGAAAACATAGTCGGATAAATATGTTAAACAATACACAATTATTGTAACGAACATAATATAATATGTATAAGTAATTGTAAAAAAAAAAGTTGCATTACAGTTTATCATGAATTGTTGTTAGTAATTAAGTATAAAACAAAAATACATTATTGAGCAAACCTCATTCATCAAATTTGACTGAATAAATATTAAAACTAAATGACATTAAATGGCTATAATTTAAATAAAATCAAATAGAACTACTGACTAGATAATTTTAATAAACTTAAGCTAAATTAATTTTTTTTAAACAATAACAAAAAAAAATATTATTGATATTATATCATTTGATGTAAGTAGTAGTATAATTCACTGTTATGATTAAGTGTCAACGTATGTAAGAACATATGAGTATATTCAATGTTTAAAAATATTAAACAATCATAATTTGTTCTTTAACAAAAATATACCCAAAATAAATGTTTGCTAAACAAAAACCATTCTAAATGTCACAAAAATATCATAAAAACTATTCTAAAACAACAAACAAAAATTGGTGCAGTTCAAATAAATAAATTTACAGTATAAAGGTATGTAAGTTATTTCATAGACAATAGTATACAATATACTTAATGAAAACAATAAATACTTACACTTAAGTAAAATCAAAGATAAAAAAACTAAAGACTTTAAAGAATTAAATTGTAAAATAAAATAATTTTTACAAGATTCAAGACGGTATTGCTTAAAATATCTAAATAATTATTCGTATATAATATGTATTACTGTACAACACAGTTCTTATTTTGATGAATCAGACCAGATCTATTGAGATCCCTCACAATTTTATCATCTTCTTCAATTCTGAAAATTTATTATTAATAATATTTTAATTATTAAATCTCTTAAAATGTCATAAAAAATACTTACGCCCTTTCTTGAGAATCTAAATGATGAACTAACTCATCCCGTTTGTTGACAATAGTTACTAGTTCTGCCAACAATAAATTCTCACGACGTCTTTGCTCTTCTGTCTTTTGCCAGTCTAAAAGTTAATTTAACTTATCACCGTTTCTACTGAATATTAAATAGTTAAATCATACCTTCAATAGCAATTATACTTCTAAGTTCTCCAATGAGTAATTGGTATCTTCTTTCTAAATCGTCTTCTTTTTCTCTATAAAACATATAATGGTTATTAAGTGTTTGGAAAATAATTCAAAATTGATTCAATACAATAGTTTCATTTTATCTAAAATATATATTTTACAATTATAACAAGAAACCACTAATTAAAAGTATAACAATGAAAGTTTGAACAAGTCTATTATTACAAAAATATATTGATGAATTTAAAACGGTTAAGAGGACGCTACACCCAAGTGTGTTGTCTCTATCTTACAAATTTAACTCAGCAAAAATTGTTTTGCACTGGAAATAACCAATACGGCTACAGTCATAACTAAGAACCAAAATTTTCACCACATAAATAAGAGAACTTTGGCTGTGAAATATCATTTTTTTTTTTTTGATATCAGAACTACAAAAAAAGTTATTTAAGTTTGAAAAACAAAAAAAAAAATGGATTTGGATACACTAAATGAAACTGTATTATAATGATAAATTATAATAAAATAATTGATGAAGATATTAATTTCTTTCACGAGTTAATTTGTTTCATTATTAAGTACTTATAGACATTTTAACAGGTATTTAAAAATCCTTAAACATATGAGAGATAAAAAAATATTTAAATCATGGCAATAGATTTAATTAAGAAAATTATAAAATATTAAACTGGGTAGTTTTAATATTAAATAAAATGTATGACTATTATCAATACTTACAAAATGTTTAATTGCATTTGGCGACGCAATAATGCATTTTTCTTATTAACAAGTGTAAACCATTCTGTCATAAGAAATTCTTCCCGCTCTCGATCATTTCCTATAGTGTAAAAAAAAAATGAATAAAAAAATATGCTAATCATCCAACAAAAATTGAAATTCATAAATATATTTTGTGTCGTCACCTGTATTCATAACTCTTCGTAGTTCTACTTCCAGTTCATCAGCTTGACAATCAATTTGTTTCTGTTCACGTTCTAAAGATTCCATTTCATTTTGAATGTAATTGATTTCATTTTTAAAACTCTATCAGCATATAACAAGAGAAATTATTAAAAATAACATCCTTAATTGTGTTTAATTAAAACTTACATCTTTTGATACAGAACTTGCATCCAATAAAGATGTGAAAGATTGCAGTTTCTGAGGGCTACTTGAGTCTAATGCTAAATTACTGCTATTTTTACTGGATTCAAATGACTGTTCAAATTATACATGATTATAAATCATAATGTTAACATTTGTAATAGCTACAAATTATACCTTATCAAGGTTGAACAAACTAGTTTGAGATCTGTCTGAAACTGGAGATACTGAACTTCGAGCACTTCCATTATTTAGACTTGTAATTGGAGATGATGAGGTTGAAACATTAATGTTTTTACGTGCCTCTGCAATCAATTTTTTAGCTCGATCTCTTAACTGTTGCTGTCTTTCTTCTTCATTCTGCGATAAATAAGTGATAGTATATGTTAAATCTTATAGTTAAAAACTAACATAGTTATTGTATTTTTTTATTTTTAAATAATTTGAATTTCATGAAATCATGTACTAGTATAATCATTTAAAATAATAATTTTAATAGCATTCAAATATTATATGCAAAGGAAACAAAAGAACAATGTTATTTACACCAACCTGACTAGGTATTTGAGGCACAGATCGTCTAGCTGCTTCTCGGCGGGCTTGTTCTACAAGCTGACGAGCTCTTTCTCTAAGCTCAACGTGACGATTAGTTGTTACATTCTACATACATACAAATAAAAATCATGCAACTCTCAATCATATTAATAACTATAATTAGTTAGTAATTAACAAAATATTAATTATCATTTTAAATGTTATGTATGCTATGAAATATATATTATAATGGAAAGGTAAGATATCTGACCATCAAGTTACGGATTTTATTCATTTAAAATTCTGAACATTAGTGCTGAAACTTTATTTTAAAACTTGTTAAAATACTTAAATACGTATACTTCTAAGAGTAATTACAAAAGTATTTCAAAATATCAATCATGTATAATCAAATATAACCAGTATACAAAGTACAACCAGTAACATACATAACAGTCTATTTTGATGGGAAATTAACCATCAATTAAAACATCATAAAACTCTTGAAACAAATGTTTTTAAAGTGACAAAAAACAGGCAAAATATATAAAATTGTTATTTAATATAAAATATATTTTTATAATAGATATAAATATACCTGTTTAGAAGAAATGTGGTTTTTATAGGTTTCTTGTAATGACTTTGATTCACTAGTTTTGTCACCTGAGCTTGAACTTTTTAAGCTCTAAACAAAATGCAACCATATTTAAATTTAATTACTTTCGTTACAAAGAAAACTTAATACCTCACTAGTTGATAGAGATCTTGTTAACTTTTTACTTCTTTCACTAGAAACTAGAGATATGCTGAAATTTGTAATAAAAAATTATTTATTTAATAAATTGTATATTCTTTAAAAATAATTCGATATTATCATACCTATCATCATTAGACATTAAAGGATCAGTAAGTTGCCTTTTAGTTATCTGAGATGATTTTGATGATTTTGCCTAGTTAAAACATTTTTAAATTTTTAATTGTTTGATGTAACAACAGAAATATTTCTTAAGCATACCTTAGGAAAAGATAATTTTTCTTTAGATGGAGATAATACTTTATCAAAAATACTTTTTGAACCATTTAAAATTTTATCTGTTATATTATCTTTTGTAGATGCTATTGAGGAATAACCATTGTTCAGATCATCAGTTATATTATCTTTTTTACTAAAAATGAAATACATTAGTTAGTTGGTGTATCCATGAATAAAAATATTTTTTTGGTTGAAAATAATACTTTTTAATGTTTCCAAATGAATTCTGGTCTTTATCATTAGAATCATTAGTTCTAAAAATCTCTTTTTCAAATAATTGAAAAGATATATCTCTATCAGGATTATTAAAGCGGCCAATCATATATGATGATTCATCAGCTGTCTTCCCAATTTGCTGAACTTCTAATTCATGACCTAAGACAAATTTTAATTGATAGTAATGCATAGTTATCATTAAAAATCAACTATTTACCAGTAAAATGAGCTCTTAATTGGTATAAATATGTCATAACAGCTAACTTATCAGGAATTGTAAGAACGCCCATATCAGAAGGTTCAATAACACGAGATATACCCAATAGTTCTCCAGCATCAAAAGCAGCTTTACAGTTTCCTCTAATATCGTGAGCTTTTAGTGCATCAAATTCGCTGAAATTTTAGCACATACTTAGTCATTTATTCATTTTTACAATGGATACAAATTAAATTATACATAATAAACTTGTTCTGTAAACAGTTCAGTTATTCATTCATTTAAAACTTGTACTATTTTGTTTACATTACAATAGATGTTACTAATAGAAAATGCATTTACATTAGTTAAAAATTATAATTCTATTGTACAGAAAATGATAAAATTAAAATGAAATTATCTTCAGTGAATATAAACTGAGCTTGAGTTCTTCTCACACCAAATCAATGATGAAAAGGCTCATGTTAGTAAAAGTAATATTTATAAATATACTTTAAAGAATCCATTAAAAGCCTTGAAATCACAGTAAAAATGTTAAGAAGACGCAACACTTGCATGTGTTGTTTCTGTCTTACAAGTACGTAACACAACAAATGTATGCTCAGAAAATCACGTTAAGCTTTGTTAGTTTAAAAATTAGAGTGAATCAAAACATTATGAAACTCGATGGAAAGAACATTATCTGTGACCTTATATTGGTTTTTACGATAGTTTTTAAGCGAGTTATGAGCATTATTAATTTATATAATAATTTATTTATAAATGCAAGACTTGCTAAAACATTAAACCATCGTAAAAAAACCAATGTTGAAGATAGTATTCTAACCATCAAGTTTCATAATAGGTTGATTCACTCTAATTTTTAAACTAACAGAGCTAAACGCAATCTTCTGAGAGTAAATTGCACACTTTTAAGACGGATATAATACATGTGAGTGTGTATTCATAAATTATGATAACACAAAAATAGAAAAATGAATAAATTATCTCACATAATATCTGGACGGAAGTAATGAATAATAGCACAAAAGGCAAGACCGTTTCTCCAAGATGTTGTAAGATTGGTAACTTTTACACCAGGGTATCCTTTAGTAATGTCTTTACACCATTCAAGTAGATCTTGACCCGGTGTAGTAGTTTCAGTACCTTTAGAACCACTATCAGTATGAATCTGAAAACAATTATTATTATAAGTGCTGACTCGCTTGATATAATGAAAACAGTATATTATCAAGTAGTCAATTAACTAAGGTGAATTGCGGACCTTACTAGGTGCGTACTCTATATGAATAATATGTTTTATTTTTATTATTGTATTTTGATTGCGGATACACCAATGAGCAACTTTAAGTGCAACTCAGCATCCTTGGTAGAAAATGTGTGAAAATTTGATTTGATGCATACTTCTACCTGATCTACCCAATTAACCAATAGCAACCAATATACAAATAAATTATTAATTTCTACTATACATATTTTTTTCTCATATAACCAATAACAACCATTTATAAACAAAAATTTCTTTCATAAATATCAAAATCCCGGTTTGAGCAACTCTCTGGATTGGACCTACCGGGGCCAAAAGTGAATCTAAATCATCCAGGGAACCACTCAAACACACAAAATATTCCAATAAAATCAGTCCAGCTGTTCAGGCAGGCATAAAAGACATACATACAGACAGACATTCATTTTTATATAATATATATGAATATAATATGTTCAAAAACAACTCTATAGCTAAAATAGTTATAAAGAATTTAATTGATAAATTTACATGATTTTTCAAAAATATTTCACTTACATCTTTTAAGTTTAATGGTTTTAATGATGCTCGAGTGTTCTTCATACCTTCTCCGGAACCAGAATTATTTCTTTAATATATACAAATAAAATTAGTTAATAAAATGGATTTTTTTATGCACTTTTTAAAATTTAAAAATTTAAGTTGTTTTTACTTTACTATAATTATTATAATTGCACCTACTACATAGTAGCTATATAGTACAATACAAAAATAGAATACATTTGTGTAGCATCTTACATGTAAGAGAGATTATTATAAGTAGAACTATTTTCAGAATTTGAATTATCGTTGATTGATAAATTGAAATGTTTTGTATTCTCTGACAAATCTTCTTCTTGTTGAAAAGAATTATTTCCTAGTAAGACAAACAAATCAAATAGGTAACTTATGTATTAAATTACCATCAAAATAAACAACCTACCAACAGAACTACCAATAATTTCAGGGTCACTTAAACTATTTGTTAAAAGTTCAATTTTGTTAGTCATAAACGATACATTGTTCATATCTTGTTTGAATGAAGAGTCTAGAAAAACAATAAAATAATATGAATAAATAAATATATCTTTATGTACATTGTACACATACGTCCGTATACATGAAAATCAGAAAATAATTAAAAAATAAGTTACCTTCAATATCTTCTTCATCAAAATCTTCGAGGGGGGCAATATCACTATTATTTGTGCTAAGAAGACTAGCCATACTCATCATATCCTCATCACTTAAAAAAATAATAAATATAAACAAGATTAAGTGTATTTATCTATATTACTGGAGTTAAATAAGTTATACATTATTAAGTAAACATATAAATAAATAATAAATCTTGGATGAAAAACTGGACAATAATCTTGTAACCTGCAGGTGGCAAGACCAATCCATATAAGAATATATTTTAGGGGAAAAAATAATTAAAATAAAAGTAGTGTAAATGTCCTAAAGACTGAATTGTAAATATCATAGCAGAGAAATATTATCTAAGTACCTATGTTGTAAACTTGTAAATGATAACTCGGGGCAATAAGATAAGGAGATATTCGATAGATAATAAAAATTCATAGAGAGTAGCTTCAACAGAAATAGAATAAAAGTAACTTGTAAACTTAATTAAATATATAGTATATGGTAACTGGTAACTACTGTAAATAACTTACGTAGCTTTTCCTTCTCTTAAAAATACACTTGTTATAGTCATTTCAAGAGATGCTGAAGTTATTTTTTTTGAAGTAGGTTTGAATACCAATGTAATTTGGCTTTGAGTGGAATCTACACTGGCATGTTTTCTCATATTTAATACAGCAACTGCTATTTGTCTATGTTTTCCTAGATTACTCACCTAGAAAATAAATAACACATTATGAATAGAATTGTATGAACTTTTTCAAACGAGGTACAATTAATTCAAATGTTAGTTGATAATACTATTGTAAATACATCAATAAATAATAAGAAGCAGTGTTTGGAAATAATGGGGTTGTAGATGTTCATATTTTGCAAACATTATATGAACCACTATGTTACCGGTCATATCAAATAGAACATTAATGAAATTCATAATAACCTAATAGTAATGTATTATAAAATACTTATTTATAACATTTTAAAACTACATTGTATAAGTAGTTTGGTTTTGGCGGCAGATTAAAGCAATTATTCATTCATATATTTATTTTATTTATGTATTAAGATCAAACAGGCTAAGCTTTTTTGATACACAAGTAATTTTCTAGAAGCTATAATTTGTATTTTCTCAAAGTTTTATACAAATATTTTTAAAATAAAAGAACGATCAGAAGAACGTTCAATTTTTTAGGAACTTGATGTGTTTCTTTATGATAAAGTGAACATCAACAAAAAATGCTTTATTTTAACGCATTGAACTAAAACAAATTAAATTTTCAATTGAATTTTCCAAACATGCTAACTGATCAAAAGAAGACTTGTAACAAATCCAAATACACCATTGTCGATATGAACCAGTCAAATGAATAAAATACCTAAGTACTGAATTCAACATAATTATTCTTTACCTTACAATACATTATCAATACATATCTTTCAATCAAAAATGTTTAAAAGAAAGTAAATGTATATTAGTAAAAGTACAATGCTCTTTACTGCTTACATCTTCAATAGCAAAAGTCCATTCTTTGTCTTCATGTTCATTACTTCGAGGGTCTTTGAATAATGTTATGGACAATTGCTTATTTTCTGGAACTGGCCAAATTACTACTCCTCTTAGTGGGTCTCTCATTGTAGGTTCCCACGGTAATGCTTCACTGACAAAACGACGGCTTCTGCGACTTAACACAACAACCAATTTATTAGGAGTCCTAAAAGAACAAAACAAAAATTCAAAATATATATTATGAAGCATAAAATAAATGAATAATTGAAATCATAATAAGCATTTCAAAACATTATTTATTTATATATTTAAATAAGTACAGAAAAAATATATAACATGGTAGTAGTATTGTTAAATAAATTAATAGTATTTATTAGACCTATTTGTAAAATGTAATATAGATAAATTAACTTTGATTTAAATGTTATACACTATTTTAATACTACTAAAGTCATATTTGATTTTATAATATTTGTATTTGTATTAATATAATATATACCTACAATATATAAATATAAGGTGTAACAAGAAGACCTGATGGATAAAATATAAAATTGATACTGGTTAAACGTACAAAATAAAATTAAGAAAATTACATGTAAAATAAATAATTTAAGATATACATAGGTATTTATGTCTGAAAATTCTTGAAAAAAGTTATTATGTATAGAATGCATTAACTCCAAAAAAATATCGATTTATCAAAAAATTGTAAAAATAAACTAATTGACTTCTATAAATGTTTTTACCATCAACATTTTTCTAAGAATTAGACTTTCAAAATGATTAGGTATTTTAAATTTTTCCAACAAAAAATAGATAAATTGAATATTCTACTTGTAGCGCAAGTGTCTATATAATTAATTATATCCTACAATTGTTCATAAATACCATTTAAAACAAAAGGTATTTAATTTGCGAAGTCGGTCTGTTACACCTTGTTTATATACATAACTTTACACAATTTATGTATGTAATGTAATAATAAAATCATTTTAAGATCTGATTTACAAAAAAAAACCCTCTTACCATTTAGAAGTAGTTTCACATATTATTTGATGATATGATAATGTAAATTGAAATTTGGTTGCTCTTTTATTCACTCTTTGAAGCCGTTTCCACACAGAAGCCATATTTATTGACACATTGGATATCTTTCTCTTTAACTTGAATTTCATCATTATTAAAAAATAAAACAATGTATTATTATAATTTTTTTAAATAAAATATTAAAAGGCACAAGTTATTCGAATAGAATTTGATAAGTGAGCATTGCTGTTGCCTAGGTGTTAGTGACATGAATGTACTATCAAAACTAAAAATGTATAATAAATAATAAAATAATTATGAACCAAACTAATATTATCTCAAATGACCTTTGACCACTAATAAATTATACATTCCTTATCTGAATTTCTGTTTTCCTCTTTATTATAGATGGATAAACATTTATGTAGAATTATTATTTCAGTTAATATTTATAATCAAACATAACATGTATGTAAAATTATTTTATTTGTATACTTTTTAAATTATTCTTAGCCTTATGACACTTTTAGTAAGTTACTTATTTAATTTACTATAGGGATTTTGGAATATTAAAATTAAACAATTAACAAAATACTTTGAGATTGATATTGAGCACTTTACTATTAGATAAATATTATTAATGCCAAAATTAGTCTGCATAAAATACCAATCAATTTTATATTGCTATATTATAATTACTATGTTTAAACACTAAATCGATTAATTAGAAACACTAATTTTGATAATTAAATTGTTAAAATAATATATATACACTACAATACATTGTATTTTAGTTTAAACTGTTTAATTAAGAAAACATAAATAGAAAGTAGTTAACATCCTAATTAAAAGTTAAAAGCTTCTTATAGTTTATTTTTATTATTATTATTAGATAAATAAATAATATACATTTTTAATACACTATTATTATAAACAGATTTTAAATATTAATGTATTTTAATTGATTATATTATGTGTATGAAAGTTGTTGATTTTTATAATTCATTACTACAATTTTAGTATGACTATTAAAGTAACTTTATTATGGATCAAAAGAAAATTTACATTAATTTTAAATGTTTAGTCTGATAAATATTCATATGAACATGGATATACTAATACTTATACACAATTAATATTCAAAATGATGTAAAAATTTAAAAATATTCATACACTACTTAAAGGGGTTAATCAGTTTGAAATATTCATAAAAATTGAAATAGGTAAGAAATAGTACAAGATATGATTAATACAAAAGAGTATAACAATAAGTTTAGTTTGTAACTCACAATAGTGAAATAAAACAATAGTAACTTACTATAAAAATACTATTGTAATTTTTAATTTATGGTCTTCTTTAAAATAAAATTGAAATTATATTAGAGCTAAACATTTTAAAATATTTAATAATCTAGCACCTTATTCAATTTTTAAGATGACGCCATACCCACATGCTTGTCTTAGTCTTACAAACGCATAACATAACAAACTGTACTTTCTGAATAATTCATTTATCTCTGTTATGTTTAATCTTAGAGTGAATTGACCCAGTATCAGATTTAGAAGTAAGAATATTATCCAGACACTGGCATGGGATTTTTTTATACTTAAATTTTAAAGCAAGTTATGAGTATTTTAATATATACAATTAATTTATTATTTTAAAATGATCATAACTCGCTTTAAAATTGAAATTGAAAAAAATCCTAAGTCATCATCTAGATAATATTTTTAGTTTTAAATTTTTTAATAGGTCAATTCTTTCTAAGATCAAACATAGCATAGTTAAATGAATTATTCAGAATGTATAATTTACTATGTTATGCGTTCGTAAGAAAGAGACAAAGCATGTGGATATAGCGTCTATTTAATGGATTTATATATTTCATCATACTGTCTTTAAAAAATATTGAATCATGTATATTGAAGATATTCAAATTTTTTCATTGCACGGCCTTTGTCTTTTTATAACTTTTTGGTGGCTCTCAAAGATACGGAAAGAGAATGTTTTAATGTTTAAGCATTTATAAATTATAAATACAAGAAATATATCAAGACAGCAAATATAATAATAATTATGCATGAAAACTGAAATTAAATTTTTTAGGTTTAGAATAAAACAATAAATTGATCGTGATCATTGTAATTTTTTTCTTTTAATGCACCAAGGCTCCCCTGATAAATACTCTAGACCAGCGGTTCCCAAACTTTTACGACTAGGGCACCCTTAAAAAATTGTTTGTGTTTCACGGAACCCTAATGTCTAATCCAACTCAACTACAATTTTTCTAAATAAAAAAAAGAAAAATCAATTCTCTAAACTCTCAAGTCTAAATAATATTTTAATGATACTGTTAATGACTTTTCATTATTAAACTTAGTTTAAAAAAATTTTCAATCAAAAATATTTTAAATAACAAACATAATTAATAAACATAATTTTCTCAATAATCTCATACATCTGGCGGAACCCTTGACATAGTCCCACGGAACCTTAAGGTTAACACACTTTGGGAAACGCTGTTCTAGACGGCCCTCAGAGCCGTGACACAGTTTGAGTACCTTTGATAAATACAATACTTACAACAATTTCTACAGATAATTTAAAAAGAAAATGTACTTAGTTATATTTTAAAAATAAATAATATTTTAAATTGTATTTAACATTCTAAGATTTGTAGAGTATAACAATATATTCTGACATATTGGCAATCTACCAATTTAATAATCATAAACGAAATACCTACACATGCATGTGAACAAAAAAACAATAATAATTTGGCAATAACTAGACAAATTAATTTATAAATAGCTGTTCTGGATGCGCATTTAAAACTTAAAGTTATAGGTAGATCGTTAATTATTTATACATTTTATTCCAAATAATTATTGAAATACATTTAAATATAAAATTATAACTTCACCATTCAATGTACTAAGTAATAAGACAGTTGATTTGAAATTTGAATGAACTTTAATAATACCTAATAAGCATAATTTACAAATTATTTTATTAATAATTCAAATACTTATTCATAAATATATAGAACATGAACAGGAATTAAAAGGCATTTAAAAAAAAATGTAATTTTGTGTGCTAAGGTCATAGCTAAGAAACACTAATAAGTAAAATATGAAAAACATTTTATTTGTTTAAAGTTTTGAGGCTGGACTATGACTTTTAAATCAATTAGTTTTAATAAAATTTACAATATTGATAATTAACTATGTATATGTTGTACCATACTACCATCCACATAAAGTACCAGTTAATTTACATTTTAAGTTCAATATATTTGCTTTTAGCTATCTTATTGACCGGTTGATAAATAAAAAATGTAATTGGGTTAAATTTTTTTTAGAATATTTAATGCAAACAAAATAATAATGAAATTTATTTTAAAAAGTAAGAACACACATATTTATTAATTGCTTAATCCACAGTCAACACTTTCTAACACAATAAAATTGGTGCTCACAAATCTCATTAGTAGGCAAACATTTTTAATCAAGTATAAAAGTAAAATATGTAATTATTTATATTTATTTATAACATTATGACATGTTAAAAATTTACAAGGATTTAATTTTAAAAAAAAACAAAAAAATAAAGGTAATAAATTATTCAAAATAATAGTAAGTAGAGGTAGGAATATTAATAACATTGTCAAATTAAAATTTGAGTTTACATATTTTAAGTCCTCAATATCATTTTTTTTTTTTACTGAAAAAATGTCTCATATCCATACAATTTTTTTAAATTCGGAATTACTGTAATTTTGGTATTTGGAAACAATTTGAAACAAGTAGATATATTTTGAAATTTTTAATTTTAATAATTTGCTGTAACTTTTAGAATTATTAACTAGTTGTTAGGATAATGGGAAAAAAAGAAAAAACATGAAATATATAAATGTAAGAAATATGACATCATCCAGTTTATCGCTGAAATATTTGAAAATATTTATTCATTCTGAAATATTTAAAATATAATTTATAACTATTTATTCACAATTTCATTAAGCATACTCAACAGTGCATTAACTGCACTCGACTTAAATATTGAAACTACCTACCTACATAAAAATGTTTATTGAATGAAATCCATTTTTTACTTATCAGTATTGAGTTATTCGACTATTAATTTTGAGCTTATACAACATATACATATTATTTCTTAACACCAAACCAAAATTATATTTGCATTAAAAATGTTGTTTGGCCCCCTATACATCTTTACAAATTTAGCTAAATTATTAATATTGTATAATATAGTAAGTATAGAAAATAATACGTACTTCTGTAGTCTGAACATGGTATATAATAAAATATTTATTCATTTTATCAAAGAAAACACTAAATTACTTATCAAGACTATATTTTATACTGGTAAAATTATAGTGGTTCTTAACTTTAATTTAGTATTTAATCATTAACAAAAAAAAAAATGAAACATAGCAATGCATTTAATAATTTTGTAACTTCAAAGCTATTAATTTAGGTACCTATCTACTATAACAATATTCTGTTCAACTAATTTTATCAAAGAATTCCAGAAGATAGATAAATTTCAATTTGACATAATTCCATAATATTGACTAATGGCTTTTATATAAAATGTAGAGAGTTAACTTTAAAGTAAGTATATAAAGGAATTGTGTTATATCCATTTTAATTTTAATACTGTTTGTGAAATACAAAACCAAAAATTACCCTGAAATGTCAGTAACAATAGGTAGGTACCTACAACTTACATGTAATATTTAATGGACAGAAATGTTATTGTAATGATATGATGTGTTATTAAGAGTAATAATTTATTTATTAAAAAATAGCCAATAATTTAACAAAAAGTATGTGACTTACTCAGTAGGTAGATATGATTTAATTGGATTGTTTCTTGAGTTCTTTAGATCGTTTACCAGTCAGTTGAAAACCAGATGATAAATTCAGCATCGAATCGATCTCTAATGTACACACCCATTGCCGTCATCGTATTTTGATTACGATACAGTTTTTTTCACGGTAGAACAACGTACCAAACACTGAACATCAAAATTATAAATTATTCATCCTTCTTCAAGACGACCTATTGAGTATTGACAACGAGTAATTGGTTATTTCGATTTTCGAAGAAAAATCACGGTATTGATAACAACATGAATTGATAATCAAAACGAAAGGGGTCTAGAACCAACTGATCTACCGAGGGCCAATAGAGTCACAACCGTTGTCTCTACCGTCAATTACTGCTCCCCTTAAGGCCTGAATGCCTCATTGAATATTAGCGTAATTATATAATCATTTCAAGGGTACCCACATCTAATGGACTACGGTCTACCGTCTACACTCTACGATAAACCATACAACTCATAGAGTAGTAGGTTGCAGGTAAGTAGTATAAAGTATTCAGGTCTATGCTGTAAACTGTTGTTAGTTGTTACACTACGCCA